GATAAACTTTCCCACACAACAATGCAAGATCCCGAGACATAGCTTGTTAAACTGCTAGAAGCTCTAAAAGATTAATGTGGAGAGAAGATTCCTCATCTGTCCAGAGACCCTTGAATTCCATATACCGTATCCATGAAAAGATGTATCTATGGACATGGGGGCAGGAGAGGGACATCTCCTGTTGTGTTGTCCCTGTCCAACCACTATCCAAGATTGAGCAGGCTAGAAGCTAATAAGGTCACCAAAAAATCCAGTGCATTCGTGCAACTGTTCCATTGATCCCCTAACAACCACTTACGGGAAAAATGTGGGTCAGATCTAAAGGAATGGGTGATTCTAAGCATGCCCACATCCTCAGAAGTGATAAAACCACACCTGCCAGTGGAGAAGGAGATGACTGTATTAGAAGAACAGCCCATTCTATAGCCTGAAGGCATAAAAGAGATGGGAATTGAAAAACACCCCTAAATGGACTTAGTCCTGTGTGGGAGGAAGAATAGACATCTCTGTTGTGATGAGAAACCCAGCTCTTGTGTGTGAAGAAGCCAGTCATCCATATAACAGTGAGTGTAAAGCGCTATGAGTGAAGATGATGGGAAAAGGATCTGACTATTTGGCAAAAGATATAGGAGCAGATGTGAGGCCAATTAGTAGTGCACAAAACTGAAAAAACTATCATTTCTGCACAACATGGAGATAACATGAAGACTCCATGATCAGAATATGAAGAGAGGCATAGGCAACATCAAACCTTGTCATCCATAGACCGGTTGCAAAGTGCTAGAAAAGGGAAAGAAATGACTCCATCAGAAATCAAGGAAGTTGTAGAAAACGATTGAGATGAGAAAGGTCGATGACAGGTTGCCAATTGCCTGTCATCTGTGGTATTACAAACAAACGGGAAAAGCAGGAAATCGTCCAGTAGGAGACTGTGAAAGGTGATAGGCCAGGGTTGAAAGAGAAGTGTGGAGATAAGCCACATCCACTCTAGATTCCATGGAAACTGGAAGACCTTTAAAAATAGAATGTCTGAGAAAAGGAGCTTCTCAGAGATCTCAAAGGGCCGAAGAAGGAAGTCAAGCCCCCTCAAACAAGTCATCTCTCTCCAAAAGATCCCAGCAACAAACTAATACAAGAAACCAAGGAGAGAGCAGAAGCTGATAACCTTACAATATAATTTCATA